AGAAAGAGAAGATGGGGAGAGGGGGATAGTAGAGGATAGGAAAGGTAGCAGAATACAACAGTCACTAGTATGGCATTATGTAAAAATGTGAATGTGTAACGGATGAGATTCTGCAATCTGTATTTGGGGTAAAAATGGGAGTTCATAACTCACTTGAAACTAATGTTTGAAATATGATATGTCAAGAGCTTTGTAAGGTTTTGAACAACCAATAAAAAAAAAAAAATGTTTGTGAGAGGCCAATTTATAGTAAACTAGCATTGCCTGGGCAGAGGGAATTGAAGGGAAGTAAAGGTAAGGGTGACTGCTGAGATTTCTTTTGGGGGTTATGAAAATATTCTGAAATTGCTTGTGGTAATGGTTGTACAACTCTTTTTGTTTTTTTTCCTGGCATTACTGAGTATTGAACTCAAGGTCCTAAACATTCTAGGCAAGCATTCTACCACAAAGTAACATCCTCAGTCTTTCAAAATTTTGAGATGGAGTCTTGCCAAGTTGCTGCGGCTGACCTAGAACTTAAGACCCTCCTGCCTTATCCTTCCAAGTAGCTAGGATTAGAGGCCTTAACCACTGCACCCAGCTATGACTCTTTGAATATATGAAAAACCATGAAAGTTGTACACTTTAAATGCATGAATTGTATGATACATGAAATACCTATCAATAACGCTATTATCAAAAATGTACTATTTCATTACCTGTCTAATAAACAAGTTACTGTCGTCATGTTAATCTCCTTCACATATCCCCTAGACAAAGCAAACAGTGTTCTCTCTTCTCCACTTAAAATAATTCTGTCTCCTGCCATTAGGTTTGTGACAGGCATAGAACCATTTTTACGCTGGAAATGATGTAAATACTGTCCATCGCAAACTCTCTTTACATGTTCTGTTCTAATCAGGTTTCCAATGCAGTTGCCACTCTCCTCCCTATGAAAGAAAAAGAAAGAAAATGCTTCCATTTATATCAGGTAAGTATTATGTTTGTATTTTTCTACAATTTACTTCATTTGGCCTCTGAAAACTAATGCTGAGTCTGTCCTTTTTACATTTTTCACAATCAACATTAAAGTGATAGAAACGCTAAACAAACATTGCCTCCATTTTTTTAAAACCTTTTTTGTTGTTTATTGTTTATGTGGTGATGGGGATTGAACCCAGGGCCTCATGCATGCCAGGCAAGTGCTTTACCACTGAGCTATCTCCCCAGCCCTTCCATTTTTTTTTAAACATTTTTTAAACTTTTTATTTTATTGGTTTACTTTTTATATGGTGCTGAGGATCAGACCCAGTGCTGCACACGTGCTAGGCAAGGGCTCTACCACTGAGCCACAACCCCAACMMGCTTCTTTTTGTTTTTTTGTTTTGTTTTTGTAGTGCTGGGGATTGAACCCAGGGCCTTGTGCATGCCAGGCAAGCACTCTACCCACTGAGGTATACACCCAGCCCCATTTGTTTCTAAGTGACCAATCACCCCTCCTTGTTCCATCCACAGTCTGGGATGTCTGAACAGGGTGTTTATTGGCACATGGATCCTTGATGATGGATATATCAATACCCCCACATCCTGTGCTGATAAATGTAACATTACAGAAGACAAACCATAATAATCTCCTAAACTAGATGTGAAGAAAAGAATAACCGATTTCTTTAGTGTTTATAAGAGGATTTAAAATACTATTATTAAAATAATGATAAGTACCGGGCATGGTGGCGCACACCTGTAATTCCAGTGACTCAGGAAGCTGAGACAGGAGGATCCCAAGTTCAAGACCAGCCTCAGCAATTTAGTAAGACCCTGTCTCAAAAATAAAATTGAAAAAAAAAAAAAAGAAAACAGAAAAAAAGAAAGAAAGTGGGAGGGGGGTGCTGGGAATGTGGCTCAGTAGTTAAGAACTCCTGGGTTCAATCCCCAGTACCCAAAATAAATAAAAATAAAATGACAAGCAAGTTGTCATAATTACACTACTTCTAATAAATAAGTATTTAGCATTTACAACCTCTCAGACATTACTATTAAATACTATACAATCTCAGAGGCAAATTGTTGGCATGTGTGCTTGACATATTTGTTATATAACCTACAACATGAACTTGCTCCACTGTAATGTTTTCTAAATTAAAGCCTAATATTAGGGACACACAGATCCAATTATTTCCAATTATTTCTAAAGTCACACTATTATCACCTTATTCTAGTAAAACAAAACTGGAATTAATGCAACTAAATTTTACTTACAGAAAAATACTATGTGAAGGTATAAAAATCCTAATAATTTATCTTTTTTTAATATTTATTTTTTAGTTGTAGTTGGACATAATACCTTTATTTTATGTATTCATTTTTTATGTGGTGCTAAGGATCAAACCCAGGGCCTCACACATGCTAGGCAAGTGCTCTGCCGCTGAGCTACAGACCCAGCCTCTAATAATTTATCTTTCATAAGTGGATGCCACAAGGAAAATGAGATAGACCTTCAGAAAATGTGAATCTGTCTCAAAATAGAAAATATACACTTTTAAAACACTACTTTTTGAAAACTTAAGTAAACTACTTTTTGAAAACTTAAGAACATGGTGTCTCAGGCCCATAATCCCAGGTACTCAGAAGGCAGGGGCAAGAGGATTGAGAGTTCAAGGCTAGCCGGGGTAATATGGTGAGACCCAGTCTAAAAACAAAAACAAAAAAAGTAAAAAAGCAGTATGCACTCTACCAATATGTAACAATTCACCTTAAGACATACTCAAGTTTATATGGATATCACTGATGAATAAGAATTAACAAATGATTTTAAAAATTTCTTTCCAGATATCACAAATATATAATCTCATAACACAGGAGGCTGAAGCAAAAAAGATCTCAAGTTCAAAGCCAGCCTAAGCAATTTAGGACCTAAGCAACTTAGTGAGACCCTATTTCTAAATAAAATATAAAAAGTCTGGAGATGAGGCATAAATAAATAAATCATAATTTTTAAAAAATTTGTATTTATTCTTTGGTACTGAGGATTGAACCCAGGGGTGCTTTACCACTGAGCTACATCCCCATTCCCTGTTTTAAAAAAATATTTTTTTGTAGTTGTAGATGGATACAATATCTTATTTAGTTATCTTTATGTGGTGGTGCTGAGCATGGAATCCACAACCTCACACGTGCTAAGCAAGCGCGCCCCCCCCCCGCCCAGTCACAACCCCAGCCCATCCCTACTCCTTTTGATTATTTTATTTTGAGGCAGGGCCTTGCTAAGTTGCTTAGGGCCAGTCTTGAACTTGGTGTCCTGCTTTGGCCAACCAACTTCCTGGGATAACAGTCGTGTGCTATTGAAAGTATATGACTGGGCTGGGGATGTGGCTCAAGCGGTAGCGCACTCGCCTGGCATGCGTGCGGCCCGGGTTCGATCCTCAGCACCACATACCAACAAAGATGTTGTGTCCGCCGAGAACTAAAAAATAAATATTAAAAATTCTCTCTCTCTCTCACTCTCTCTAAAAAAAAAAAAAAAAAAAAGAAAGTATATGACTTTGCTAGAGGTGTACCTCAGTTGTAGAGCACTTGCCACCTAGCATGTGGGAGGTCTTGTGTTTAATTTCAGTATCCCCAACCCAAAAACAGAGTTGATATTAGTATCTATTCATATACACAGAAAACTAACAATGATTACAGCACATAGCACATGCAGAAATGATGTTCTACTTAGGAACAACTCATTGACATCTGGAGTTTTCATGAACAAATGAAATCACATATCTTTAACATGCCATATAACCTATATGTGTCATGAATTCCACATCCCACACAAGCTAATACAAATTAATGACACTTTACTCAAATAGACCACTTACATTTCTGAAGCAGGCTTTAACCAGATATTTTGGTAATTCTTTCTGTTATCTTTTGATTGTGACTCCAGGGTTAACATTAGATACCAAAGGCTGAAATACTCTAAGTGTGTGATTTTCAGATGACAAGTTTCTTCTTGAATTTTGGACAGCATAAGCACTGGGACTGAATTTTCATCCATCTGTTGTTCAACTGCTCTAAATACAAAGTTCCAAGTTAGAGTTGTATATATAACATTTTACTAGTTGGCTATAAAATGAGGTTTTTCTAAAATAAGTATACAAATGTAATAACCACCATAACTCATAAACACAGCCCCTAATTTTCGTTAAAAGTCATTTGAATATTTGATAAAATGTGGCTTTTTTTTTGGAAGGGGTACTGGGGGTTGCACCAACAGGTGATTTTCTATGAGCTACATCTCTAGGCCCTTTTAAAGTTTTGAGGTTTGCTAAGTTGCCAAGGAAGGTATCGAACTTGCAATCCTCCTGCCTCAGCCTGCCAAGTTGCTGGGATTATAGGTGAGTCACCACACCCAGCTGACATGCAGTTGTTCACAAAACAACATGTTTAAGATATTGATTACTGCATTATTTTTCCTTCAATGATCATCCCCAAACAACAAAGCCAAGTTTGGTATACTCCAGTCTTCATTCTCGTACATAAGTTTTGGCTTTTTTTCCAACTGCATTTCTTGAAACCATAAAAATTGTATGCCCAGCTCTGTGACATAAGGAAGTCAATTTAAAACTATGGAAAATCATTTGTAGATTCAATTTTCCTTACTACTGAATTAAAACATTTCCACATAGAAACAAATATATTAAAGGACAGCATACAAAAGATTGAGAGTAAAACGAAAGATTTCAAATAAACTGGGCTGTACTATAGTCCCAGACATCCCACACAGTACTCTGTCATTAAGGGACATATTGACACAATACTTTTTAAACTATTTTTTTAGTGCATAGTTCTATACTTTATTTCTTTTAATTAATTTACTTATTCTAATTAAGTGTATATGACAGCAGAATGCATTTTGATTCATTATACACAATTGCAGCACAACTTTTCATTTCTGTGATTGTACATGATGTAGTGTCACACTATATACAGTCATACATGTACCCAGGGTAATAATGATGTCCATCTCATTCCACCATCTTTCTAGCCCCCATGCTCCCTTCCACCCCCTCCTTCCCATTTGCCCAATCAAAGTTCCTCCATTTTTCCCATGCCCCTGTCATTATGGATCAGCATCCACTTATCAGAGAGGACATTTGGCCTTTGAATTTTTGGGATTGGCATTTCGCTTAGCATGATATTCTCCAACTCCATCCATTTACCTGCAAATGCCATAATTTTATTCTCTTTTAATGACATATATATATATATAATGTAATAATATATATAATATAAAGAAACTGTGATATATATCATAGTTTCTTTATTCATTAATTTATTGAAGGGCATCTAGGTTGCTTCCACAATTTAGCGATTGTGAACTGAGCTGCTATAAACATTGATGTGGCTGCATTACTATAGTATGCTGTTTTTAAGTCCTTTGGTTATAGACTGAGGAGTAGGATATCCGTGTCAAATAGTGGTTTCTTTCCAAGTTTTCTAAGGAATCTCCATACTGCTTTCCAGAGTGGCTGCACCAATCTGCAGTCCTACCAGCAGTGTATGAGTGTACCTTTTCCCCCACATCCTTGCCAACACTTATTATTGTTTGTATTCTTTGTAACTGCCATTCTGACTGGAGTGAGATGAAATCTTAGAGTAGTTTTGATTTGCATTTCTCTAATTACTAGAGATGTTGAAGATTTTTTCATATATTTGTTGATCAATTGTCTATCTTAAAATACTTTTAAAGTTCATACTTCATATAAACTTTCAGGCTGCATTAGAACTTTGGCTCTGGTTTGACCTTGTTTCTTAGTCTATATTTACATCTAACTACTTTTTTGTGTGCTTCAAATTTTCAGCTAGCCTATGAAGGCCGACATGGCTGTTCAAATAACAGCTAATAAACTTACCATTTATACAAAAATAACCATATACAAACAGTACAGGCCCATTCACTGGGTCATGCCAAACTATCCATCTGGAAAAACTGGTTTCCTTGTGTGCAACTACAAAAGACCTCAGATTAAAATAGCAGTTAAGAGGGGATATGGCCCAAGCAGTAGCGTGCTCGCCTGGCATGTGTGGGGCGCTGGGTTTGATCCTCAGCACCACATACAAATAAAAAAAAAAAATGTTGTGTCCACTGAAAACTAAAAAATAAATGTAAAAAAAATTCTCTCACTCTTAAAAAAAAAAAAAAAAAAACACAATGAAAAGAAAAGAAAAAAGAAAGAAAGAAATGGATGCCTTCTTGAACTATCTTTTAAGATAACTTAGGCCCATGCCCATAATCCCAGACTGAAGGAAGAGGATCACAAATTCAAAGCCACCCTATACAACCTTAGCAAGATTTTGTTTCAAAATAAAAAATAAAAGGGGCTGGAGATGTAACTCAGTAGGTTAGATTCCCCATATTGTCAAAGAACAAAAGWATTTGTACTTATATTGTACTAAAAATGAATATTCTATATCTGTCTTAACCAGATTCCATAAGTCCTAAAATTATTTCATTTCAGAAACTACACACAGAAAGATTAAAACATTCAGTTTTGGAAGAAGTTTAAAAAGCACTGTATTATTTACTGAGAAAAATGGGCTTCTCAGGAAACAAACTTTTTCCCCCCTTCATTTTAGAGATACAATACATAAAGGAAAATAAAAATAATTAAAATGAAGTCATCTATTGTGTGCATGTTCAAATACGTAACAACAAATTCCATCAATATGTACAACTACAATGTACCAATAAAAAATGTGGACAAAATAAAATTAAACAACAAAAAAATGAAATCATCAATACCAGACCACCTACCAATACTAAGTCATCTTGAGTTCAGTTCATTTTCAACTTGAAATACTGCTTTCTGAAAATAGTGTTTACCTGCTATAAAGAGCACAGTTTCCCACTTGTGAACAATATTTACAGGTTTTCTCTTCCTCAGTTACTTGTGGCAAAAAAGTGAGCTGTGTCTTCTCCTTTCCAGGAGATTTGCTAATACGATGCAGCAAAAAAAATGCCATTTGGTTTCTTAGCTTTAATAATTCTGTGGGAGAAAAAACAAAAAGCTAAGTGTCTTATCACACCCTTTCCATTGTATCAGTAAAAGTTTCAGATTTAACAACATAAAATAATATTCACAGTTCCTGCTATACGAGAATAAGCACTGTTGGTTATATTTTGTTATGTCTCCTTCAAATTTTTAGTCACTTGATAAGTTCTTGAAACAACTAATCTCATAACTAATAAGACTTGAACCTTGTGTTTTATTAGGTGAATGCTGAAGATAAAGTTACCTAGAATATCTCCAGTATAAGAACTTCAAGATAAACTTTTGTATTAAAAAAAAAAAAAAAACAAACTTAAAAGGTTAATAATTTTCAACTATAGAGCATATTATTAAAATTATCTTAAAAATACCACAACTACAAATTACAACCTATAGTTGGCATGATAAGTATGTGAGTACACTGTTAGGTATAAAACTATATCACCAAAAGTTGAAGGGAGGGAAGGGGCCAGAGAAGTAAAACTGAAAGCAAACAGCTCAACCTCTTTTATCTAGATGGTTAGCAGGCACAGGGTACATCTGCCCAGTCTTGAGGTAGAGAAGTAAGCCAGCCTCTGGATCAGCTCTTCTCTCTTGGCTTAGCAGCGTGTACAGAACAACCTGTGCAAGACAGGTTGTCAAACAATGAGAATTCTGTTACACAAATTTCTAAAATCATTTCTCTACATCATCTTATAGCCAACACATAATTTTAAAATCTAAAGGTCAATGAAAGTGGGAGTGGTGGCAATTGCCCAAAATCCTAGCTACAGAGAGCCTGAGGCAGGAGAATCTCAAGTTTCAAAGCTAGCTTGGGCAACTTAACAAGGCCCTCAGCAACTTAACAAAGACTCTGTCTCAAAATATAAAATAAAAGCTGGGTGGTGGTGCATGCGTATAATCCCAGGGGTTTGGGAGGCTAAGGCAGGAGGATCATGAGTTCAAAGCCAGCCTCAGTAAATAGTGAGGCCCTAAGCAACCCAGTGAAATCCTGTATCAAAATAAAGTACAAAAAAGGGCTGTGGATGTGGCAGCACTGGGTTCTATTCTCAGCACCACATAAAAATAAATTTAAAAAATAAGGATATTGTGTCCATCTACAACTAAAAAAAAATTTTTTTTAAATGGCAGGGGTGGGCTGGGGATGTCTCAGTGGTTAAGTGCCCATGAGTTCAATCCCTATGATCAAAAAAAAAAAAAAAAAAATTGAAAACAGAAAGGGTTTGGGATGTAGCTCAGTGGTAGAGCACCCCTGGATTCAAACTTCAGTATCAAAAAAAAAAAAAAAATAGTTCCATGATAATTAGGTTTAGGAAAAAAAAAAAATGAGTTAAACCTAGCTAAGACAAACTGTATTAGTTTATAATTCCTCAGAACTTTTTTTTATTCTTAAGTTTTAGGTGGTCACAATATCTTTATTTTACATTTACGTGGTGCTGAGGATCGAACCCAGTGCCTCGTACATGCTAGGCAAGCACTCTACCACTGAGCCACAACCCCAGCCCCTTCTCAGAACTTTTAATAGGCTAATTTAACACATGGTAAGTTATCCAAATACCTTTGGTTTCCACAACTTACATGAATAAGGAATTACTGTTTTTCAGAAATTTATTTAGACTGGTAATTTGGCAGCATAAATTTGGCATCACTGGCCTATATATTTAGCTCTTTTATTACTTTGCCAGATACAGTTTTCTACGGCACTTGTATATATTGACAAAACAAATTGAGTACTCCAATGCATCACAAATTAAAAGTTATTACATAAAACACAAACATAACCTAAACTGAACCAAAATATAAAAAGCAGTCTACATGTTTAAATAAACATTCAATTGTGCATAGTGGCATATGTCTATAATCCCAGCTATTAGGAAGGCTGATGCAGGAGGATTCCAAATTTGAAGCCAGCTTCAACAACTTAGTGAGATCCTGTCTAAAAATGAAATTTTAAAAAGTGCTGGGGATATAGCTCAGAGGAAGAATGCTCCTGGGTTCAATCCCCAAATAATCAATCAAACAATCAATCAATTTACATTTAATTTTCTTACAATTTATACCTGACTACGGTGTTCAATAGAATTGGATTCTTTGCCGGTTTTAAGTTCCAATGGCATTATTTTATATTTTGTTTTAGAACCTTGATGTATTTTCACACCAACTGTAACATCTATTTTGCCCTTCAATCCAAACCTAGGGGACCAAATGCTTTCTTCAATATCCAGTGAGTTTATTACTTCAATGTTTCCTGTTGAGTTATTATTACTACCATCACTTGGCCTAAAAAAAAAACAAAACACAAAAACAATTAGGAGACAGCTTACTTCACGCATGCTGGCACTGACTTTACATAGAAATGACAAGGGGATGGGAAAGAATCTTTTTTTTTTTTTTTTGTAATTTATTTTTTAGTGTAGTTTGACAGAATACCTTTATTTTATTTACTTATTTTTATGTGGTGTTGAGGATTGAACCCAGGGCCTTGAGCATGCTAGGCAAACGCTCTACTGCTGAGCACAACCCCAGTAATCTACATATCTTTATAGCAGCATTATCCAAGTGTCACCCTTGAACCAGTAGCATCAGCATTACCTGGAAACTTCTTATAAATGCAAAATAACTGGTCCCACTCCAACTGACTCATTACAGAACCAGCAAACTATTTAACAAATTCTCCAAGTGATTCTGATGTATTCTTCAGTTTACAGACCTCTGTTCTACAGGTATCATTTAGCCATTCTTAATATTTATTTATTGGTAATTGGGCACAATGTCTTTATTTATTTATTTTTATGTGGTGCTGAGGATTGAACCCAGGGTCTCACACACGCTAGGTGAGCACTCTACTGCTGAGCCACAACCCCAGCGCAAGTCTTAATATTTATTATCTGTCCATTTAAGTTCATGCCTACTGGGCTGAATACACAGTGGCTGGTTAGAGGCATGCTCTTTCATTTAATACCATATTAAACTGGGTAAGAAGAAACTCTCTCTTTTGACCATCTATGAAGTACAGGCTTTGCTAATCTCACACTTCACCCCACATATACCCATGTGACAAGGTGCACCTATAATTCCAGCTACTTAAGTGGCTGAGGTAGGAGGATTACAAGTTTAAGGCCAGCCTCTGCAAAGTAGCAAGACCCTGTTGCAAAACAAAACATAAAAAGGGCTGGGGACATAGCTCAGTGGTAGAGCACCCCTGTGCTCAATCCTAGTACCAAAAAAATTCCAGCTGTTAGAATAAATGATTTAGTTGTTTTTAGTCTTTGGTTTCATGTTACTGAGGTGAACAGGTATTTAACAAATGGGGTGGGATGCTGACTTCAACAATTTTTCTTAAACTGCTTTAAGATGCTTCAAATATAATCTCGAGGAATATATATATACACTAGAATTACTTAAGAAGACAGTTGTGGAAATCAGGGAAGCCACAATTTATAATAAATTCCTTAAATTTTAATCTGATATTAAATGTTCTCTGATCATGCCATGTACTCAAATATATTTTTAAAAGACAGAGCAAAATTTATTATTTGTCAAATTTTACATGTATACCTAATAAAACACAAGTAATTAAATTCTAAAAGTTCTTACATAGTAGTTGTAGATGAGTGATAAAGTGCTTGCTTAACATGCACAATGCCCTAAGTCTAGTACCTAGCACTGCAAACAAGACAACAAAATTACTACTAAAAAATTACTACTTGGGGCTGGGACTGTGGCTCAGCAGTAGAGCGCTTGCCTAACACGTGTGAGGCCCTGGGTTTGATCCACAGCACCTCATAAAAATAAATAAAATAAAGATATTGTGTCCAGTTACAACTAAAAAAATAAATATTTTTTTAAAAAATTACTACTATTAGAAAAAAGGCAATATGATTTCAGTTTAGACCCTTCAAGCTAATGACAGTATTTCAAATGAATTATTCTGATTTCTTGTTTTGGTACTGGGGATCGAACCCAGAGATGTTTTACCACTGAACAATTCACCATTCCTTTTTATTTTTATTGTGAGATGGGCTCTCTCTAAAGTGCTCAGGCTTTCCTTGAACTTGAAAATCCTCCAATCTCAACAGCTGGGACTACAAGTGTGTACCACTGTACCAGACTCTTTAAATGGTTTTTAGGGGCTGGGGATGTGGCTCAAGCAGTAGCACGCTTGCCTGGCATGCGTGCAGCCTGGGTTCGATCCTCAGCACCACATACAAAGATATTGTGTCCACCAAACACTAAAAATAAATAATTAAAAATTTTTAAAAAAATAAATGGTTTTTAAAGGTCCCACTCTTTTTTATATTAAAAAAAAAAAAGTCTCAAGTTATGGAAGTTCCTTTGGTTTTGGTTTTTTCTTTGGCAGTACTGAGAATTGAACCCAGCAACACTCTACCACTGAGCTGCATTGCTAGCCCTTTTGTTGTTTTGAGACAGAGTCTTGCGAGTTGCACAGATTGGCCTCAAAATTGAAACCCTCCTGCCTCAGCCTCCTCACTCTAAATATATGAAAACTATATAAATAAAATTCATTTCTTACAGAGACAGCTGCATTTGAGGGAAGTCAATTGAAGTACTCTGATGCATGAAATCTCCAGCCCACTTAGAAAATGAAGGAAGATACTCCTCTACTTCTTGTTTTACTTCATCTGGATTCAGATTCAAGCGGTACCTGCCAAAAATAAGAGATAATAAATACAAAACCATAGATCTAAGAAATGCAAATTAAACAAGGTCCAAAACATCCAAATAGGTAATTCACATGTCCATTTGCTAATGAACAGATAAACAAAATGTGGTATATATACACACACACACACCGAAATACTGTTCACCTTTGTAAAAGGAAGAAAGGTGAGGAGCTAGGGATACAGTCAGTGAAAATGCAGATGSTCAGCATGAACAAGGGCCTAGGTTCAATCCTCAGGACCAAAAAGAAAGGGGGGGGAGGATTCTGACACCACAGTGTGGATAAACTTTGATGACATTATACTAAGTGAAATGTCAGTCACAAAAGGACAAATATGAATGTTTCCACTAATATGAGAAACTACAGTTGTCAAAATCATAGAGACAAAAAGTAGAACAGGGGCTGGGGTTGTGGCTCAGTGGTAGAGGGTTTGCCTAGCATGCAGGGGATGCTAGATTCGATCCTCAGCAATAAAATAAAGGTATTGTGTCCAACTACAACTAAAAACCAAAATATTTAAAAAAAAAAAAAAAGTAGAACAGTAGTTCTGAAAGGAAGGAAGAATGGGGTTGTTGCTTAGTGGGTACAGAGATTCAGTTTTGGAAGAAAGGGTTTATGGAAATGAATGGTGGTGATTGCTGCACAACACTTTGCATGTACTAGATACCTCTGAACTGTATATATATTATTTTAATTTTTGTTTTAGTTGTAGATTGACACAAWCTTTATTTTATTTATTTTACCACTAAGCTACTACCCCAGCCCCTGAACTATATATTTAAAAATAGTTACTATGGCAATTTTTATATTATATTTATTTTACCACTGAGCTACGCTACTACCCCAGCCCCTGAACTATATATTTAAAAATAGTTATTATGGCAACTTTTATGTTATATGTATCTACCACGTTTGAAAAAACCCAAATAACAGTGACATGACATCTAATTTCACAGTATTTTCTCTAATTCAACCATCGCGGTTTAACTAGAGGGATCAGTCCCAATAATATCTTTGGGATAAGAAAGAAATTATAACTTTAGTTTTAAAAGATACTGGTCCAGAAACCAAGTAATGAAAAACAGAAACATGCTGGGGTTGTAGCTCAGTGGTAGAGTGCTTGCCTAACACGTGTGAGGCACTGGGTTCAAATCTCAGTACCACATAAAAATAAATAAATAAAATAAAGAATTCTGTCCATCTACAACTAAATAAATACATTATATATACATATATATATATATATATATATATATATATATATATATATATAAACATTAAAAAAGGAAAAGATCATATGAAAAGAAAGCTAATATAAGCCTCACTACATCAAAGTGCAATCTAGGTTGGGCACAGTGGCACATGCCTGTAATGCCAGCTACTGAGGAATCTGAGGCAGGCCTCACACGTGTTAGGCAAGCCTTATTTAGAACCTGTCTTTAAGTTAAATTAAATATAAAATAAATGGGTTGGGTGATAGCTCAGGGTAGAGCACTTGCCTGGCATCAAGTGGCCCTCCCCAGCACCAAAAAACAAAAAAATACAAAATTTCAGGTAGCAATTTTATTAAGGGAGCAGCCAGATCATATGTTTGTAATCCCAGTGACTCAGGAGGCAAATGTAGAAGGATCATAAGTTTGAAGCTACCCATGGAAGCTTGGAAAGACCCTGTCTCAAAATAAAAAATAAATTAGGGCTGGGGATGTAGCTCAATGGTAGAACACCTCTGGGTTCAATCCCTAGTACTGGAAAAAAAAAAAAAAGAGGGCTGGGGTTGTAGCTCAGTGGTAGAGCGTTTGCCCTACAAGCATGAGGCCCTGAGTTTGATCCTCAGCACCACATAAAAAAGCAAATAAAGATATTGTGTACATCTACAACTAAAAAATGTTTAAAAAAAAAAAAGGAAAGGAAATTCTCTTCATGGAGGAATAAGATCAAAGATCTATTGTGTAAAATAGTGACTAAAACTAATAGCAAAGTGTTTTATTTTGAAATACTTGAATAGATTTTAAGTGTTCTTATAATAAAAAATAATAAAAATGTGGGTCTGGGCAGGCACTTATTGGATGAGTACATGCTTAGTATGTAAAAGGCCCTAAATTCAATATCTAGCATAGAAAAACAAATCAATCAAAATTTACAACAAATCAATTCAGAGATTAGGTTATAGAGAATACTGTGGATTCTTGCCTCCTTTCCTTCCTGAGTTATTCAATCTAGGGGAAGCAGTTACTTTGTAAAAACATATAAGTAGCCTATGGAGAGGAACTGAGGCTTCCTAGCCAGAAGGCATGCAGGTGCATCATCTCAGAACCTCATCTTCCAATCCTTGTCAAGTCCCAAGATGACAAGCCCACATGGGAGACTGAGCCCAACCACAAAGCTAAGTCACTGCCAAATTTCTGAACTACAAAATCTCTGGGATGCAGCAGTCCGGCTGCAGCAAAATAACCGGGGGGTGACGAACAACTTGTGTACATTGATACAGCAGGAGTGGGAGCCATTTATTGTAGGACAACAGAGGTATTTATACATTCCACACAGCTGATCTTAATTAACATAAACTAGATACAGCAGTCAACCAATAAGGAAACTCCACACTTCATGGCTCGCTGGCGTTACTTCACAAACCACTCCCTCTGGCAAAATGCCAGGCACCATCCTGACTTGTTTACAGACTCTAACACTGGGTTAACAAATGTTTGTAATTTTAAGTCAAGTGCACCAGCCTATGCCTATAGTCCCAGCTACTCATGAAGCTGAGACAGGAGGATCACTAGAGCCCTGGAGTTTAGAGCCAGACTAGGCAATATGGACCAGACCCTGTCTATTCCCACCTCCTCACTTAACCACCAAGTTGTACCCCTAGCCCCTTTTTATGTTGAGACAGGGTCTCACTAACTTGCTGAGAGTAGCCTGCAACTTGCCATCTGCCTACTTCTAGGATTATAGGCATGCAACACAATGCTGCGCAAGGGCCTGTATCTCAAATTAAATAAATAAACAAACATTATTATATATTTATATTTTCCCTTCCTTGCAGTGGTAGGGATCAAACCCAGGGACTGACACATGCTAGGCAAGCACTTTATCACCAAGCTACACCCCCAGCAGGCAACATTTGTCATTTCAAGTCACTATAATGACAAACATCTTTTTTTGGTACTGGGGATTAAACCCAGGGGTTCTTTACCATTGAGCTACATCCCTAGCCCTTTCAATTTTTAATTTTAAGACAGGATTTCACTTAGTTGCTTAGGGCCTTGCTAAGTTGCTGAGGTTGGCCTCAAACATGTAATCTTCCTACCTTAACCTCCAAAGTTGCTAGGATTACAGGTATGCACCACTATGCCCAGTAAGTCACTAAGTTTTGACAAATTTATTTCATGGAAACAGATGATCAATATAATAATATGTCACCATGCACAGTCCAGGGTGTGACAAGAAAGTCAGAAATTTGCAATGTATAATGACAAATAAGGATCTAAGTGAAACTTCATTAATTTAGTCAAAATTTTATTAAATCTATCCACATTCCTTTTTTTAGCGGAATACCAGTGATTGAACCCAGGAGCAAAGGAGCACTTAATCACTAAACCAAATCCCCATCCCTTTTTATTTTTTATTTTGACACAGGTAATGAATCTGACAGCAGCTAATGAATCAGTTGTACACATGTACCAAACATTATAAATTATGAGCCTAATAATTCCTGTTGTACAACTTTGAGAACTCTTCCAACTTGCAACAAGGTACCGCTAGAGGAGTCTACATTTTAGGTTACATTAATTCATTCAAATAGTCTAACATTGTAGGAAAGAAGCTATATAATATAAAGTTGTACCTACAGTTCTTCTCACAATTACTTACATTTCTTTCAAATGCTTTATTTCCTGAACAATTTGACAAGAAAGTTCTTGCAGCTTTTCAGGGGTGAAGCTCTTACTACTTATCGCTTTTTGAAACACTTCATGGAGAATGGTACCAATCAGCATTTGGCGTGTGGCTGGATTAGAACTCTATGAAAACAAATCACACAATTTAGTCCATACATTAAGAGACAAGACTGTATATTGTATAGGCACCATAGCCAAAATGTACCACCAAGACAAATACCAAAAGATTATTAAACAATATTTTTCTGGTTCGTGAAATATTATAAGTAACACTTCCTTCTATTCAGAATTATCAATTATTGTATAAGTCTGGGTTACTCTAAAACATTTCCATTTTAAAAAATAATAAAATTGATATAAAAAAAGCTCAATATATGGGCTGAGGCTGTAGCTCAATGGCAGAATGCTTGCCTTGTACATGTGAGGCACTGGGTTCAATCCTCAGCACCACATAAAAATAAACGAAAGAAAGACATGCTGTCCATCTACAACTATAAAAAAAATTAAAAAAAAAAAAAAGCTCAACATATTTTCAAACATTTAATGTTTTATAAGTATTCTCGAATTTCACTTTATAATCCACTCAAATAGAAAACTAAATAAAAGCATAGCTCATAAACGTGTGGACATAAAAGATACTATTCATAGGCTGGGGTTGCTCAGAGGTAGAACACTCACCTAGCAAGTTGGAGGCCCTGGGTTCAATCCTCAGCACCACATAAAAATAAATAAATAAAATAAAAGTATTGTATCCAACTACAACTAAAAAGTAAATATTAAAAAAAAAAAAAGAGGGGCTGGGGATGTGGCTCAAGCAGTAGCGCGCTCGCCTGGCATGCGTGCGGCCCGGGTTCGATCCTCAGCACCACATACAAACAAAGATGTTGTGTCCGCCAAGAACTAAAAGAATAAAATAAATATTAAAAAAAAAAAAAAGATACAATTCAACTAAAATTTAAACCTACGATAAAAGACGGTTTCAGGGGCTGGGATTGTGGCTCGGCAGTACAACGCTAGCCTAGCACGAGCAGGACCCGGGTTCAATCCTCAGCACCACATAAAAATAAAGGCATTGTGTTGTGTCCATCTACACCTAAAAAATAAATATTAAAAAATAAATAAAAATAGAGACAGTTTCGAAGAAAAGTTATTTCAAGGGCTGGGGTTGTGGCTTAGTGGTAGAGCACTTGCCTACCATGCTTGAGACCCTGGGTTTGATCCTCAGTGTCACATAAAAATAAATAAAAATAAAGGCATTGTGTCCATCTACAACTAAAAATATTTTTTAAAAAAAGTATTTCAAAAGAAAGAATATTTTATTTCTTTTTTTTTAAAGAGAGAGAGAGAGAATTTTAATATTTATTTTTTTTAGTTATCAGCGGACACAACATCTTTGTTTGTATGTGATGCTGAGGATCGAACCCAGGCCGCACACATGCCAGGCGAGCGCACTACTGTTTGAGCCACATCCCCAGCCCCTTTATTTCTCATTATACTCTTTTATAGGGCTCAACCTTTCCCTTCAAGCTACCAGAAAAAAAGATAAGGCCACCAAAATATCCATCAGAAATTTAATAAATTAAATTATAAGAGAACACTCCATACTATTTTTGCAAATTCTGGGTTGTAATTATCATTACTATTGTAGTGCTAGGGATTGAACCCAGGGGCATACTACCATTGAGCCACATTCCCAGCCCTTTTTTAAAAATATTTTATTTAGAGACAGGGTCTTACTGAGTTGCTTAGCACCTGGCTTTTGCTGATGCTGGCTTTGAACTTGCAATCCTCCTGCCTCCCCAGCCTGCCATATGCTACTGCAACCAGCTCAGCAAATTTATTTCAAAATAAAAACCTTTTAAAAAACTGATAATCAGGCTGGGTATGGTGGCGCAAACCTGTAATACCAGCACTTTGGGAGGCTGAAATATGAGGACAGTGAATTCAAAGCCAGCCTCAGCACCTATGAGGCACTAAGCGACTCAGAGAGACCCTGTCTCTAAATAAAATATAAAAAAGGCTGGGGATGTGGCTCAGTGGTTAAGTGCACCTGAGTTCAATCCCTCGTAACAAAAAATAGTTCTCTATAAACTCTAAGATTCTGTGTAAACATCAGTTGTTAATACTATTTACCCTAAAAGTTTCACTTAGTACAGCTCTTCTCATACATCGAATACTACTGGCTATGCTTGTGCCAGAAATCAGCATGTCTGGATACAGAATCAGATATCCAAAATCTTCATCAATTATCCATGTGCCAGATTTGCAGTCTCCTTCCAAATGAATGATATCCCCTGGCTCTACTGGTACAGAACACCTAAAAGTAAAGGAAAGTTAAGTAGGTTCCTGCATTTAAAGATATTGAGGAGAATTCAAAAAACTAACAAGCACCAGATACAGTAGCACACACTTGTAATCCCAGCAACTTGGGAGGCTGAAAAAGGAGGATCACAAGTTCAAGGTCAGCTTCAGCAACGTAGAGAAGTACTAAGCAACTTAGTGAGATCCTGTCTCAAAATTAAAAATAAAAAAGGGGTAGGAATGTGGCTCAGTAGTAAAGCATTCCTGGGCACCCCTATCCTCAGTACCAAAAGAAAAAACCACCACTATTTCAAAAGAATACTTTTTAGCAAGGTGCAGTGGCACAAGCAAGTAAGCCCAGTTACTCAGGAGGCCAAGGCAGGAGGATCACAAGTTTCAAGGCCAGCCAGGGCAATTTAGCAAGACCCTCTCTCAAAATAAAAAATAAAAAGGGGCTGTGGCTCAGTGGTAGCACACTTGCCTGGCACGTGTGAGGCACTGGATTTGATTCTCATCACCACATATAAATACATAATAAAAAAATAAATAAAGGTCTATCAACAACTTAAAAAATTAAATAAATAAAATTAAAATAAATAATTAAAAAGGGCTGGAGTGTGCCTCTATGGGTAGCGTGCATTAAGTTCAATCCTCAGTAACACTGACCACTCCCCTAAAAAAGGGAAAACAAAATAACTATACACACACACACACACACACACACACACACACACTTCATCTGAATAAGTAATTCTAAATTTCTGAGTATCTTTAAAAATCTGAACACCAGGACACAGTCTTCTGGATAAATTCCTAGTCACTCTACCCCTTTCATAAAACATACCAGAGTGGGGGTGCTGGGGTTGTGGCTCAGTGGCAGAGCACTTGCCTCGCACGTGTGAGCACCACATAAAAATAAACAAAATAAAGATATTGTGTCCATGTACGACTAAAAATAAAAATTTAAAAAATACCAGAGAATAATCAAGGGCTTCCCTTACATCCCAAAAGAGGAACTGCAGGCATAGAGACACCTGTAATCCCATCAACTATGGAGGCTGAGACAGGACAATCTCAAGTTTGAAGCTAACCTCAGAAATTTATCAAGGCCCTAAGCAACTTGGCAAGTCCATATCTCAAAATTTTAAAAATGGCTAGGGATATGGCTCAGAGATAAGGTCCCTCTGGGTTCAACCCCCAGTATCAAACAAAAACAACTGCTTAGTGTTAGCAACGTCTACTGCAAAAGCTATCAAATATTTACTAGTGTAATATATAGCTCTAATTACGAATTGGGTTTTTTATAACTAATCTTCTCATTCTTAAGACTTTCAGTACATCTATAGCTTCTAAAGGCTTTAGACAAAGAGCCAAAGTTAGAATAAACACTCCCAAACCTGAGAAAATACAAAATTCAAAACACTTTTTTAATCCCAAGCATTATGGATAAGGGACACTTGACCTGATCATGATTTGAAATGACAATAAAAATCAACTTTTGGAACAAGAGACTTGAGATACCTGGATAAGAGAAACAACTTTCATGTAGAATTAAGTCAGTTTCAAATCTACTCCCTTGTTAACAATTACATTATAGTAATATTCACAAAAGCATTTGATAGTGCTGGAGATATAGTTCAGTGGTAGGGCACTTGTCTAGCATGTATAATGCCCTGGGTTCAGTCCCCAACACTGAAAAAAATATGTATATATGGTACCCTTAAGACTCTGCCAAATCAGTGCTCAAAGTCAAACAAAAATTACCAGTCACTCCTAAGGATGCACTGTTCTTTATAGTCTAGGGATTGGGAAGCAGTGATGATTAGGTGTTTTTCATAGTTTCCTTCTTTATTCTGTACTGTATTGACTGCTAACACCAGGTAGCGGTTATCCATTCCGTGGCTCAGAATTGTCTTAGGAAAGGAAGCTTCCTTCTTCTTCTGAAATCTAAAGCATACACATACAAAACTATATTAGTACAACCATGACATAAGAAGTCATTCAATTTGTTTTATCTGGAAGTCAATCTTTTAGTTTTCTAGGTTTATTTCTTCTGGAGAGCGAATCACAATGACCTTTGGTTAAAATAGTTAAAACTGAGCAAAGCATACTGGAAAAATTCCTATTATAAAAGCTTCCCAGAAGCCATGCCATTTAAAACATGCTTATAGGGGCTGAGTGTGCAGCTCAGTAACAACAATGCTTGCCTAGCATGCATGAGGCACTGGGTTTAAACCTCAGCACCACAAAAAAATCAATAAGTAAATTTTTAAAAAGTGCTTATGATATGGCCTTTCCCAAGTTAATCTCTGAGCTTTGTGGTACACTCATCACTATGAGAATCAAGAATAAACTTGGAGTTGTGGCTCACTGGTGGAGCACTTGCCTGGCATGTGTGAGGCACTGGGAGGGAGAAAGGAAGGAAGGAAGGGAGGGAGGAAGGGAGGAAGGGAGGAAGGGAGGAAGGGAGGAAGGGAGAGAGAGAGAGAGAGAGTAAATTTTTAAAAAGTGCTTATGATATGGCCT